AAAAAAAAAAAAATGCCACTCGCTGGCCGCACCAAATCCAGTCGTCTGCATACTGCCTGCTCTCGTTTCTTCTGTTCGGGACCGCATTCTGCAGCGACCGTCACCCAGATGGTGGGAACCGTGTAGAACCCCGCCACCTCTTCATTTTTTACAGCAGAGGACTTGGTTAACAAAATCCAAACTCAACCACAGCAACAATGCAAATACTGACGGAAAAACAACGCACCCCCCAAAGCATTGTAAATTCGGCTCCCTTCCCACCCACGAACTTCTGGTAGTTGCTTCAAATGAAAAATATGACAAACGCCACTATCAAGTTCAAACTGTTACTTTAACGGACTAGTAGTAATGAAGTTCAAAAGCTGAATCCCCCACTACTCTCCACTTTCCACTGATCATCTCTTTCACCTTCTTCCCTTAATGTTGGCTGTCCATGCTTACTCGCAATAATCAAACTAGACTCTTTGAGTCCTTTCAACACATCACTTCCCAAGACCTTTGACTTCACAGTTTGGGTAATCCAAGCTTTGACTTCCGAAAACGTCAGTACGACCATAATGAGATGTTTTCATGCCGAAAAGTAGTACTGCCTTAATCAATTCTCTGCATGCTCAATTATTTCTCCGGAATACTTGATAAGAAGGCAAAATTTCACGCTTTACAAACTTATTGCAAGGCTCACGACAAAAAATACGGCAAGAAATAAGTGTAAACGAACAACCACAGTGCGAAAAGCGCACCACTTTTTTAGAGTGAAACTCACCCAGACAGCAATAACAAACAAACTAAAGAAAACTGAGAAATCAACCCGCCCATCACAGCTTCGACAACCATATGTAACACAACAAAACAAAAGAAAAATCTGGTTCTAAATCATTCTAATTCATCCTAAAAATACTACTCTAACTGGATGCAAAAAGTAGCACGCTAATTGCGTCAATAACAACAGTAACAACAATGCACAATTTCACAAAAAAAATAACTTGTGATGTACAAACATAATGAGAATTAAGACAGCAGAATACTTCATGTAGGAGAATAACAATGACAGGAAGACAGAAGAAGTCTTGTCTCAATCTTCCACTTGTCGTGAACCACATAACAAATAAAACAAATTCACAAAGAATGACATGAAACCAAAAAAAAAAAAAACAAATGTAATGTTTATAATACATTTAGCTGTTAAACAGTTTACCCGTATACGCTAAAAAAATTAAAAATTTTAGACACACCGGCGAGCACAAACTTTAACAAAATTGTTCCAAAAGAAAAAAGCAAGAAAAACTTGAAGTTTTGCTCAAATACCCGTCTAAAAAAACCAACGCCGGCCGAAGACAAATAACATTAATTCCCTTGTGTGCCACTACCATTTTCTGCTCCTCCTTTGTTACTACTATTGGGTTGGCCGGAAGAACCCGTACCAGTATGGGAAGAATTTACACTGGTGATATCTGAATTTGAAAAAGGGTCAGGAACTTCCTCCTCCTCTTCAGTAATCGACTCAGCTTGATTTCTAAAAATATTCATTCTGTAAGCTAATTATTTATGAATGATGAAACTACTACAAAAAGTTGACCTTGGGTTATGGTTCCCCCTTCGAAACCTTGCTGCTGCATCTTGATTACCCATCCTCCTCATCGCTTCCTCGCGTAAGCGATTACTATAATACATTAAATCACGTCCCGT